GCCAAGGAAATTTTTTTAAAAATCAGGGTTTTATTTGCATCTTTCTCCCTCCTTCTTCCAGGAACCCCCCCCCCCCTCCTCATAAGGCCTTCCGTCGAAATCCCCCCCACACACACACACACAGAGAGAGTGACACTCTGCCGATTAAACTGAGTTTTAATAAATCAGGCTCTGCAAAGCGTCCGAGACGCTGAATCACTGACAGACTGCGAGATAAGCATCATTGTATCAGATGGCGCTTTAAGTGTAATTGACAAATTACGTAGCTATGAGCCCGGAGCATCAAGGATGACGGGCAAGAAAGAAAGGGAGATCCGTGGCCTCTAGGAGCCCTGGTGGTTCGCGGCCTGCCGGGTTTTCATTTCGGTTTTCCTCGGGAGTTTCTCTCCTCCTGTTTGCTTTAAGAAAGCGAGCCGAGCTGGGGGCGCCTGCGCGTGTATGTTTACGCAAAAGGTATAGAAGTGGAGGGATTCGGTTTTACCCAGTCTCGTGGTTATTGGAGTTTCAAGATCCAGGTTGGAGTTGGTGTGAGTTTGCTCCTCGCTGGTGTACCCCTAAAACCCCGTGACCAGCCCATCCCCCAGGTTGGACCTGCATCAACTTTGCCCAGACGGGCCACTGTTGACCCTGAATTATCATCGGCGATTGTTGTTGAGCATGGCAAGGGGTTAATATGAAGAGGGAAGGGACGCTGCCTTTCTTCGCCTTGAGATGCTTCCTGGCTTCTGGTTTGTTTGGGTTCTCCACCCCCCAACCCCACCCCCCCCCCCGCCTGCGGCCCCTCTTTCGGAGCAGCCCCCCCCCCGGCCGTGGTCCGCCTGTCAAGAGAGGTGTCTGCCCCAACAACCTGCTTTTTGTTTCCCTCCCGAAAAGGAGGTTAAGGCACCGGGGCAAAGAGAGCGCGCGAGCAAGAGAAAGAAATCAGTAACAATATGCGGAATATTTGGTACAAAGGATGTTTCTGTCACACGCAAGAATTTGTTATGGGAACAATTCTGCCGCTATGTAATTGCTCATTAGAGATCGTTTTGTTTCTCATTAAGGCGACATGAATAAGCGCCTAGTTGAAGGAGACAGCTGTAGAAATGTTCCACAGGAGACCCCTGGACACGATGCGGCACCGCTTGCCAATTAGACATGTCAGTTTTAAGGGAAGGGAGCAAGCTAGGAGGGACCCTGGAAACACGGAGGAGATCTGGGGCATCTTATTAAGCGCCCAACTCTCGGGTCTCCCTCTCGGGAGGGAGAAAGTCTTGAGGAAGTGGTGGCGGCGGCGGCGTGGGGGGGGGAGGACTGGCCTTCCCACAAGCCCCCCGCGCCTACGTCAGCCCCGCTCTCCCGCTGGGGGGGTGTCCCCCCCCCCCCATTGCCGTGAGCGAGGGGAGTGCGCCCAGGAGGCAGTCTGTCCGCGGGACCTGGCTGCGCGTGTGTCGGCCGGCCGAGCGCCTGCCGGGAGGGCGGTCCTGGACAGAATCCCGCCCTCCAGAGCCCCGCTGGGGTCAGAGCTGGCTGCTGTGGGCCAGGCGCCCTCTCGGCTGTGGAGCTTAGAGTGGTGAGCCAGCGATTGGCCTGCTGCTGCTGCTGCTGCTGCATCCGTTCGTTTGCTCCGGAGCCCTCCTTGCGGAGCGAAGACCAACATGTGTGAGCCGGAGGCTTAAAAACAACAACTGTGAGCCAGCTCACACTAACTGCGCTCAGAGGGAACATTGTCAGGGCCCGCCTGAGCTGGAGTCCCGGTGGCCCAGAGGAGGCCCGGCAGCAGCAGAAGCAGCAGCAGCAGCACTTGTGCTCCCTGCGGGCCGGTCGCAGGCGAACGTCCTGTCCCCCCCCCCTGCTGCCCCGACTCCCGCGGACGCCTCCACCTCTGCGGGCCGCGGTCCACGGGAGGAGCGGGGGTCCCGCCCGGCCCAGCCCAGCCTCCTTCCAGGGCCACAGGAGACTGGGCTGGTGGTGACGGCCCCAGCAGGCAGGCAGGCAGGCAGGAGGCCTCCCATCCCACGGAGCCGTCTGTCCGTCCCTCCCTCCAGAGGAGCCGCGGAGCCTCCGCCTGCGCTTCGGGGGGGGGGGTGCTGGGGGCGGGGCGGCAACCGGCCTGGTCCAGGGGCGCCCGCGGAGGGGGCCCCGGCTTCAGAGGAGCAGCTGCGGGGAGCCAGTGGGCGTCCCTCCCCCCCCCGCACTCCAGCAG